ATATCTCGTATTATTTGAAACATTTTGCTGCTATGAGTACGGTTCATATGCGTATGTGATCTCTGAATTATTTTCAACGTAGGGATCACATTCTTCGCTTTCCAGAGTTCATCGACTCGAACGATGAATCCATGTTATGGGGGTGCCAAAGTTGAATGTGTGATATGCTTGCATAAAATGAATTCCGTAGTGAATGTCCCTATCTACAGTCAACCCACTTGCAGCTGCTTCGAAGTACCTGACTAGAAAGAAAACTGTCCTATTATTTATCAAACAGATGCGAGAATGATTCGTGTTGACTTATATTTCACAAAAACTCGCGATTTTTATTCCGTGCGAGAATCCACTTTACACCTAAATAGCTTTTCATGTTCTACTAAGCACAGATATGGCCTGTTTCAGAATACTAGTCTCGAATACTGTCCTCACTAATGGGGTTCAGCATCTAAACATACGCTGATGCTCTCAGATAGTCATTCGCCTGGTGGGTGATGCCAAACTCACTCATCCTTTGGCCTCATCAGAATACCGTAGAGATGTTTTCGACCTTCCACTATCCTTTAGATATATACTTTCATAGGAAATGTTTTTCGGGATTCTCTGATATCATTCCATCACTAGCAATATCAGTGAGATGAACTCGACAATCCAGTCAGCAAATTCATTTGTTGTCAACCTTGAAAAATGTCGAACAACACTTTATCAGAACTGGTTCGTCTATATAACGTCAAAGCTCTGGGATTCTTTGCCAATGGAGGTATTCTCGAGAACTTATCACCTCCAAAAGTTGGGAAGTAATTCCAACACCTATACCTCTACTTCCAATTCTCCCTAGGTCGCACGATCATATTCAAATTTTCATATTATAGAAACGAGGAGAGAAAATCCCAGAAAATCTGGAATGATGAAGAGACCTCGATATATTTTTTTTTTTCCAAATATTTTTCAAACAAGCTGTCTATGACTATGTCTATTTGTCTCAGGTTCCTATAAGTGACATTTCTGGCGCAGTGACAATGATGATCATCTGATTTTCTCATTCTGAAAGTAAATTGAAACAATACAAATATTCATACATATGATGATATCGATTGATGAGATTCCTTATCTCAATGTGGAAGAGACATAATATGTAATTAACCATCTGAATAGAGTGAAGATGATAGAACTTGAAGATCTTACAGTTGACTCCACCAAAACTATACTTCATTCAAAATTGGGACATGTTTTGATGTAGTTTTGAAGCTTTTTTTTTTTTTTTTTCAAAACCTTTATTCATAAAAAAACAAATAGGATACAGAATATCAAACAAAAAACATTAACTACACTGAAATGAATAAATATTTCACTTACATAATAGATAATATTATAACATATAACCTGGTGTATAGAGTGAGTACTATACCATAAATAACTAAACTAAAAATAAATAGATGAATTTTCTGCCATAATACTAATATAGAGTATATTTAGTGTCTACTATACAATAAAATTTATTAGGTATATATGTGAGTTATATACATATTATATATATAATAAGGGTATCACAGCACATTGTAGGAAAAGTCCTATCAAAAATAAAATATTTTCTTGGAAAATGTATCTATTTTTCCTGATTTTATCTTGATATACCTATCTTGCCTTAATAAATTGATAAATTCATCCAACTGGGTTTGACGCTCAAAATTTTGATATATTAGTCCAGAAATTGACCATACCCAAACCTTCCTATCTAGTTTATTGCTCATATCAAAACTGAACAAATCTTTCAGGTCAGTGGCCATGATTGACAAACCAAATTTTTTAGATAATTTATTCTTTGTCCACTCCCATACATCTCTAGCTGTTCCACACATTGTTAGTCTATGCGATATGTTATCAGTTACATTACATTTATTGCAATCTTCGCTCATTCTTAACCCATGTGCTTTGAGTTTTTCGTTAACTGGATAAGTTTCATTTATTGCTTTATATACAGCAGACACCCATTTTGTTGAGATATCAGAATTTCCCAAAATATTTGACCAGATACGAGTCCAATTATATTGCGGCCATTTGATCTCTATCGTAGGAGTCATTATCCTGTCTTCCATGACTGTTCGATAAATTGTTTTAGCTGTCTTGACTGTATCTTTGGAGAATTGAAAATCAAACTCTCTTATATTCTTCGCGATATTTTTGATCAATGGGTGAACGTCATTATGATCATCCTCAAAAATATTATTGATTAACGATTTATAGACTATTTTGTTTCCCACATTCGTCCATGATAAAGCTTGTGTTTTCAGAAAGAGTGCCAATGCTTTTTTATCGATATTTATTAAATTTAACCCTCCTTTATTATGAGGTAAGTATAACTGTTCTCTAGATACCCTGTACAAATTTCCCTGCCATATATAGTTCCCTGTTGAGAGAACCATTCTTTGACTGTATTTTCTAGGTAGTGGTATAACCTGTGCCAGAAACCAGACCTTTGACAAGACATAAACATTAACAAACCAGATCTTTCTGATCAAATCTAGATCCCTGACATGACTGAACATTAATGTTAGGTTTATATTTTGAATCACCTTTTGCCAGTTCGCGTTCACCATATCTCTAAAGTTATCCGAAACAATCAACCCCAAGATTTTTATTTCCTTTTTTATAGGGAAATTACTAATGAAACTCTGTTGTACTGTCGTCATTTTTCCAAGTGGTATAATTGCCGATTTATCAAAATTTATTTTCGCATTGGCTCCATTTTCATAAATTTTTATTATTCTATCAATATTTTTAACATCTGTTTCATCTTCAATATATAATGTCACGTCATCCGCATAAGATGAAATTTTTCTTACAGTTCCATTAATATTTATTCCTTTCATAACAAAATCAGCTAGTCTTATGAAAGGTTCTATTGATATACTAAAAAGTGTCATCGACATTGGGCAGCCTTGTCTGATCGAGCTATTGATATTGAAACCATTTGACAAAAAACCATTGAGTAGAATTTTTGAATTGGCAGTCTTATATAAATTCCTGAAAAGAGTTATTATTTTTTCATTGAAACCCATTGCCTCCATTACTGCCCATAAGTATTTATGGTTTACCCTGTCAAAAGCTTGTTTGAAATCAAGAGACAAAATTGCACCGGACTTTCGTTTTTCTTTTTCAAAGTAGAGCACTGTATCCCGTGTTTGCATTAAGTTATTAAATATAGATGTATTGTTGCCAGCTGTTTGTTCTGATCCAAAGATCGTCCTACTACTGATATTATTTAATCGAGATGCCATAATTTTCATAAGCAGTTTGTAATCAGAGTTGAGGAGTGTAATTGGTCTAAAATCTCTCAGTTCTTTTGCGTTTTTCACCTTTGGTATGAGCGTTATAACTGCTTCCGCAAATTCTTTCGGGGGCAATGACAGACCAGACAGAAACGAGTTGAAAAGTTTTGTCAGGTCCGAGCCTATCTCGTCAAAGAATATCGTGTAAAATTCGTATGAGAGTCCATCTATGCCTGGTGTTTTTTTCTTAGAAGCCTCCAGGAGCACTGTCTTGAGTTCTTCTAAGCTTATCTCGTTTTCTAATCTTATACTGTCGTGTGCTGGAATTTTGTTTTTAATATATGCTAGAAGGCATCTCATATCTCTATCGTTCACTTGTGATTCTTGAAATTTTTTTGCATAAAAATTATTGGCATGTCTGATCATTTCCTTCGAGTTTATGAGCAGGATGCCATTTTCTGTTTTCAAAGATGAAATTATTGAATTTTTGTTTTTTCTTTGTTTCATAATGTCGTATAAACTATATCTATCATTCACTTCGCTATTGATTTTGTTATTGTACCTAGCATTCAGTTGTTTCTGTTTGAGATGCAGTATTGTGTTTTTAATCTCTCTGTATTCATTTATCACATTTTCACCATTACTCAATTTCCCGTTTGTTTCAAATAAAGCTTCTTGATAGAATTCTATCAAATTCCTACTCTCAATAGCCTCATTGATTTCGATGTTTTTGAAGAAAGCCTTAGCTCTCTTTTTGAAAATCCCAAACCACCATTCATTTAAATTTTCTTTGTATTTTTTATTATTTTTGAGATATTTGATTTCTTTTTTGAAATTTTCAATATTTTCCTCGGAAAAACCAGAACGTTTTATTTTCCAAAAACCCCATCCGTGATTTGTGACGTGTACTTTATCATTTGGATTTAACTTGAAATTTACAATGACCGAATTATGATCCGAGAAGGCTACCGGTTTTATTTCACATCTGTGAATTAAGCTTTTATCTTCTTGGGTGATATATATTCTATCTATCCTAGATGCAGTATTTTCTCTAACATAGGTATACTCGATTTTATTCTTTTGTATCAAATTCCATGTATCTGTCAATCTGAGCCCTTGCACTAAGTTTAGCAAAGTTTTACATATATTCGTTTGGTTACGTGCCTGATTTTTGTGTATTACAGCATTGAAATCACCTAGTAAGAACATGGGAAGATTACAATTCAAGTGCATGGTGATATCGTTTTGAAAAAAGTTTTTTCTCTCATTATAGTTTTGTGATCCGGATGGCGCATAAAGATTTATATATCTGATATTATTGATTGTGGCTGATATTAGTCTCCCGTCCATTGAACACAAAACATCTTTTATATCAAACCCGTTTCTGTAAATTATGCCTGTTCCTCTTTGTGAATTCCCTACATTACTCAGCATTGAATATCCAAATATGTTGTTCAAGACTTCCGTATTCAATTCTTGAACGAAAAGTAAGTCTATATCATTTTTCTTAATGAAATCATACAAGAGACTTTGTTTTGCTGGGTTTTTCAGTCCATTACAATTAATGGTAGCTATAGTTTGTAAATGTGACATGATATATGATCGCAAAAGAAATTGATATCTAATTATACATATCATAAAACTGCCAAACCAGATCGGAAGAAGAAACAAATATGAAAAATATTTTCAGTGATACGGTGATATTCAAAATACAGTTAGTCCCTAAACACTCACTCAGAAAAATGGATCTTTTCCCCTTGACCTTTCGCCTATATCTATATTTCCAAAATTTTCTACATGTGGTTTCTCGTTACCATTTGAGCTCCTTCCGGCTTTAGGTGGAAGTTTGATGGTCAGTTTTGGTACCTTTCTTTCTTCTTCAGAACTCGTTTCCATTTCCTCTCGCTTCTTTTTCTTCAGTCCAGTATTTTTCGTTTTAACTTCTTGCCACTTTTGTGTAGGTGAAATGATATCACCAATAGTATCACTTTCTAACTCTGAATCCAAACTTTCTTCACTTTTTTCCTTTTCCTCCTCCTCATGATGCACTTCTTCATTATTAACTATCACATCTATAGCTGGTGTGAGCTGTGTTTCCGGAATTTCTAACTGAGAGTCCGTACTTTCCTGCTGTAATATTTCACTACTGATCATTGTGACTACTGGAGCACTTGGTCTTCTGATTTCATTAATCCTATTTGTTATTCTCCTCGGACAGTCTTTTCTTTCATGACCAGGTTCTTCACATATCATACAGGTACGCACCTGATTGGCATATGTTATCAGAGAGGTACACCCCTCTATGGTAATATACGATGGGATTGGTTTCTTCATTGATATCCACATCGATCGAATTCCGGTTTCCACATTAAATAGACCTTCTCCAGCATATTTTTCATTTCTCATACTCCTCACAACTCCGTACTGTGACATTTTCTCCTTGATTTTATTATTTTCGAGTTCCAAAGGGAAGTCGAAAATTTTTATTAGAATATCATCGGTATCTTCAGTTATGTATACATCAAACTCTTCTCCGTCTTCTACGTATTTAACTATACCATCCTTGAACTTTTGTAGGATTGCCTGCATCTGCCAATTGGATACCAGCTTCAGGAAAATTTTGTGCTTGACATGATCGAACTGGATTCCCACTATTTGATCCACCGTACATTTGAGCACATTTTTGATCCACATATGCAGATTTGTATTCGATGGTTTCTTCCTAACATTTTTAAAATTTAATGTTAGCGTGTTGACTCTTCTAATCACCATGATGATTCACTTATGATTCACTTTTGTTTCGCTCTTATCGCTTAATACACGTCTGTACTCAACGATGTCTTATGCGTGACTGACATCTAATATGAGACTCGTTCTTCGAAACATGCTTCTCAATTTCTAATGAAGACAGTCACGCATAAGACATCGTTGAGTACAGACGTGTAATAAGCGATAAGAGCGAAACAAAAGTGAATCATAAGTGAATCATCATGGTGATTAGAAGAGTCAACACGCTAACATTAAATTTTAAAAATGTTAGGAAGAAACCATCGAATACAAATCTGCATTTGTGGATCAGAAATGTGCTCAAATGTACGGTGGATCAAATAGTGGGAATCCAGTTCGATCATGTCAAGCACAAAATTTTCCTGAAGCTGGTATCCAATTGGCAGATGCAGGCAATACTTCAAAAGTTCAAGGATGGTATAGTTAAATACGTAGAAGACGGAGAAGAGTTTGATGTATACATAACTGAAGATACCGATGATATTCTAATAAAAATTTTCGACTTCCCTTTGGAACTCGAAAATAATAAAATCAAGGAGAAAATGTCACAGTACGGAGTTGTGAGGAGTATGAGAAATGAAAAATATGCTGGAGAAGGTCTATTTAATGTGGAAACCGGAATTCGATCGATGTGGATATCAATGAAGAAACCAATCCCATCGTATATTACCATAGAGGGGTGTATCTCTCTGATAACATATGCCAATCAGGTGCGTACCTGTATGATATGTGAAGAACCTGGTCATGAAAGAAAAGACTGTCCGAGGAGAATAACAAATAGGATTAATGAAATCAGAAGACCAAGTGCTCCAGTAGTCACAATGATCAGTAGTGAAATATTACAGCAGGAAAGTACGGACTCTCAGTTAGAAATTCCGGAAACACAGCTTACACCAGCTATAGATGTGATAGTGAATAATGAAGAAGTGCATCATGAGGAGGAGGAAAAGGAAAAGAGTGAAGAAAGTTTGGATTCAGAGTTAGAAAGTGATACTATTGGTGATATCATTTCACCTACACAAAAGTGGCAAGAAGTTGAAACGAAAAATACTGGACTGAAGAAAAAGAAGCGAGAGGAAATGCAAACGAAGCAGAAAGAAAGGTACCAACTCTGACCATCAAACTTCCACCTAAAGCCGGAAGGAGCTCAAATGGTAACGAGAAACCACATGAAGGAAATTTTGGAAATAAAGATATAGGCGAAAGGTCAAGGGGAAAAGATCCATTTTTCTGAGTGAGTGTTTAGGGACTTACTGTATTTTGAATATCACCGTATCACTGAAAATATTTTTCATATTTGTTTCTTCTTCCGATCTGGCTTGGCAGTTTTATGATATGTATAATTAGATATCAATTTCTTTTGCGATCATATATCATGTCACATTTACAAACTATAGCTACCATTAATTGTAATGGACTGAAAAACCCAGCAAAACAAAGTCTCTTGTATGATTTCATTAAGAAAAATGATATAGACTTACTTTTCGTTCAAGAATTGAATACGGAAGTCTTGAACAACATATTTGGATATTCAATGCTGAGTAATGTAGGGAATTCACAAAGAGGAACAGGCATAATTTACAGAAACGGGTTTGATATAAAAGATGTTTTGTGTTCAATGGACGGGAGACTAATATCAGCCACAATCAATAATATCAGATATATAAATCTTTATGCGCCATCCGGATCACAAAACTATAATGAGAGAAAAAACTTTTTTCAAAACGATATCACCATGCACTTGAATTGTAATCTTCCCATGTTCTTACTAGGTGATTTCAATGCTGTAATACACAAAAATCAGGCACGTAACCAAACGAATATATGTAAAACTTTGCTAAACTTAGTGCAAGGGCTCAGATTGTCAGATACATGGAATTTGATACAAAAGAATAAAATCGAGTATACCTATGTTAGAGAAAATACTGCATCTAGGATAGATAGAATATATATCACCCAAGAAAATAAAAGCTTAATTCACAGATGTGAAATAAAACCGGTAGCCTTCTCGGATCATAATTCGGTCATTGTAAATTTCAAGTTAAATCCAAATGATGAAGTACACGTCACAAATCACGGATGGGGTTTTTGGAAAATAAAACGTTCTGGTTTTTCCGAGGAAAATATTGAAAATTTCAAAAAAGAAATCACATATCTCAAAAATAATAAAAAATACAACGAAAATTTAAATGGATGGTGGTTTGGGATTTTCAAAAAGAGAGCTAAGGCTTTCTTCAAAAACATCGAAATCAATGAGGCTATTGAAAGTAGGAATTTGATAGAATTCTATCAAGAAGCTTTATTTGAAACAAACGGGAAATTGAGTAATGGTGAAAATGTGATAAATGAATACAGAGAGATTAAAAACACAATACTGCATCTCAAACAGAAACAACTGAGTTCTAGGTACAATAACAAAATCAATAGCGAAGTGAATGATAGATATAGTTTATACGACATTATGAAACAAAGAAAAAACAAAAATTCAATAATTTCATCTTTGAAAACAGAAAATGGCATCCTGCTCACAAACTCGAAGGAAATGATCAGACATGCCAATAATTTTTATGCAAAAAAATTTCAAGAATCACAAGTGAACGATAGAGATATAAGATGCCTTCTAGCATATATTAAAAACAAAATTCCAGCACACGACAGTATAAGATTAGAAAACGAGATAAGCTTAGAAGAACTCAAGACAGTGCTCCTGGAGGCTTCTAAGAAAAAAACACCAGGCATAGATGGACTCTCATACGAATTTTACACGATATTCTTTGACGAGATAGGCTCGGATCTGACAAAACTTTTCAACTCGTTTCTGTCTGGTCTGTCATTGCCCCCGAAAGAATTTGCGGAAGCAGTTATAACGCTCATACCAAAGGTGGAAAACGCAAAAGAACTGAGAGATTTCAGACCAATTACACTCCTCAACTCTGATTACAAACTGCTTATGAAAATTATGGCATCTCGATTAAATAATATCAGTAGTAGGACGATCTTTGGATCAGAACAAACAGCTGGCAACAATACATCTATATCTATAAAGAAAAACGAAAGTCCGGTGCAATTTTGTCTCTTGATTTCAAACAAGCTTTTGACAGGGTAAACCATAAATACTTATGGGCAGTAATGGAGGCAATGGGTTTCAATGAAAAAATAATAACTCTTTTCAGGAATTTATATAAGACTGCCAATTCAAAAATTCTACTCAATGGTTTTTTGTCAAATGGTTTCAATATCAATAGCTCGATCAGACAAGGCTGCCCAATGTCAATGACACTTTTTAGTATATCAATAGAACCTTTCATAAGACTAGCTGATTTTGTTATGAAAGGAATCAATATTAATGGAACTGTAAGAAAAATTTCATCTTATGCGGATGACGTGACATTATATATTGAAGATGAAACAGATGTTAAAAATATTGATAGAATAATAAAAATTTATGAAAATGGAGCCAATGCGAAAATAAATTTTGATAAATCGGCAATTATACCTCTTGGAAAAATGACGACAGTACAACAGAGTTTCATTAGTAATTTCCCTATAAAAAAGGAAATAAAAATCTTGGGGTTGATTGTTTCGAATAACTTTAGAAATATGGTGAACGCGAACTGGCAAAAGGTGATTCAAAATATAAACCTAACATTAATGTTCAGTCATGTCAGGGATCTAGATTTGATCAGAAAGATCTGGTTTGTTAATGTTTATGTCTTGTCAAAGGTCTGGTTTCTGGCACAGGTTATACCACTACCTAGAAAATACAGTCAAAGAATGGTTCTCTCAACAGGGAACTATATATGGCAGGGAAATTTGTACAGGGTATCTAGAGAACAGTTATACTTACCTCATAATAAAGGAGGGTTAAATTTAATAAATATCGATAAAAAAGCATTGGCACTCTTTCTGAAAACACAAGCTTTATCATGGACGAATGTGGGAAACAAAATAGTCTATAAATCGTTAATCAATAATATTTTTGAGGATGATCATAATGACGTTCACCCATTGATCAAAAATATCGCGAAGAATATAAGAGAGTTTGATTTTCAATTCTCCAAAGATACAGTCAAGACAGCTAAAACAATTTATCGAACAGTCATGGAAGAAAGGATAATGACTCCTACGATAGAGATCAAATGGCCGCAATATAATTGGACTCGTATCTGGTCAAATATTTTGGGAAATTCTGATATCTCAACAAAATGGGTGTCTGCTGTATATAAAGCAATAAATGAAACTTATCCAGTTAACGAAAAACTCAAAGCACATGGGTTAAGAATGAGCGAAGATTGCAATAAATGTAATGTAACTGATAACATATCGCATAGACTAACAATGTGTGGAACAGCTAGAGATGTATGGGAGTGGACAAAGAATAAATTATCTAAAAAATTTGGTTTGTCAATCATGGCCACTGACCTGAAAGATTTGTTAAGTTTTGATATGAGCAATAAACTGGATAGGAAGGTTTGGGTATGGTCAATTTCCGGACTAATATATCAAATTTTGAGCGTCAAACCCAGTTGGATGAATTTATCAATTTATTAAGGCAAGATAGGTATATCAAGATAAAATCAGGAAAAATAGATACATTTTCCAAGAAAATATTTTATTTTTGATAGGACTTTTCCTACAATGTGCTGTGATACCCTTATTATATATATAATATGTATATAACTAACATATATACCTAATAAATTTCATTGTATAGTAGACACTAAATATACTCTATATTAGTGTTATGGCAGAAAATTCATCTATTTATTTTTAGTTTAGTTAGTTATGGTATAGTACTCACTCTATAAACCAGGTTATATGTTATAATATTATCTATTATGTAAGTGAAATATTTATTTATTTCAGTGTAGTTAATGTTTTTTGTTTGATATTCTGTATCCTATTTGTTTTTTTTTTATGAATAAAGGTTTTGAAGGAAAAAAAAATGAAGTGAAAGTATTGTTGATTGTAAGATTATTGCCCTG